CCCCCCCCCCCTCCCCCCCACCACAACAAGGTGGCAATCTAATTCGGGGGAGAATTCTGTGCAGTGAGCTTTCATTAAGTTAGTGATGAGGGTTATGTTTCAGATGTTAACCGTCTTCTTGGAAGAGAGAAAACGTCGACGAGAAAACAAATTTCAATTTGTCTTTTGCCTTGCTGACAGAAATAAATAAGTAAAAGAAAAAACTTATCAATTAAGCTACATAAATGGCGACTTATCCGTTACAATACTGTAACCGTACGTTCTTGCTTTATTATCACGTACTTGGAATCGTTAAGCGCAGTTATTGTAACGTTTCTCGTCTCCCAAGCCAAAAACGCTCCAAACAACAATAGCAGTCCTTTGTAACCACACAGTATTCCAAGCCAGCGGTATGTGTCCTTAGACTCGCACAGCTCTAGTTGCTTTACAAGTAGGACATCTAAATCAGAGTCTAAAGACTGAGACAGAGCAATAAGGTTATTCAAGTTTTAACTGATACAATGATCCAGCAATCTTTGTCAGACACTTGTGATCGACATTTCGCAAGTTATCTGTATATCACTATAAGTGATTAACTTAAGTAATTATAAAAGGCAAACGCTAACTAGCAAAAGTTAATTGTTTGCAAAAAAAAAAAAAAAAAAAAAAAACCCTTTGGCTGTTAAAATGGCGAATGACAGTGATGCCACTCCATAGTGCTCTGGAATCGTGCGATATTATATAATCGTCGAATAAATGCCATTCAGAACTTATAAATAGCGAATAAAACGAAACGTTTGTAAGAAAATTGCGTCTGAAGACAATTGGAACTCTTGCCTATCAACATAACAAGCGTAAGCCTTTCGACGAAGAAAAAGATTACTTGTCATTTATCTTATAGCACGAATCTTCCGTCCGACAAAGGGCTAACACAGAATTAGCTCTATATGAAAGTTACTTATTATTGTTACATATTGTTATTATCACGATTGTTTTTAGAGAGGTTTTCAACTGAGTGTCGTACCCTAAAACCAGGCTCAAAATAAATCACAAAGGACACAGATGTAACACAGTCAACCAATCAAAACTCGGAATAATATAATTACATGTAGCTGATGCGAGGCGCGGGAAAACATGTGCGAGCGAGTAAACAGTGGTTTTCGTTTTACGTTTGATTGCATGAAAAAGTGGCCCGAGTTTTCCAAGCCAATCGTGTAACGTAGTCCTACAGAAAACCAATTATTTTCTGACACTCCACGAAAACCACTCTATTTCTCTTACCTCTTGTGAAAACTCTCTCACAGTCCTTGTCATGGGATCCATGACCTGCCATACCGCAAGGTAAATAACGTCAACCATGACAAGCAAACAGACTACAGCGAACAAATGACGATCCTTTATAACCTGAAAAGAGAACATGTTAACTTATCAACACACAGTGACTACAAACCGCTAGGACAATCGAAGCCCACGGTTTGACGAACGAGAGTGGTTGCTAAGCAGCGTTGTATAGCTTCAGGACTCCACTGAACAAACAACGTGCAACTTTGTTGATATAAGCAGCCAGTTTGTGTTTGTCTCGTTCCTCACCGCTTCCAATGATGTGAACAAGTAACCGCCGACTATCCAACGCATTACAATGGAATCCCGCCGTACGGTCTCCTCGTTAATACGGTCACTCTTTTTGTCCCTGCGAAACGCCCATAACGCCCAGTTATGTTCATCTTACATTGTTAATATTTCATGCACTGATTCAAGTTCCAATTTTTCAGTTTAAAATTATATCTGCATTCCGGACGCTTATTAAAGAACAGTTGTTTAGAATTGCAATAGACCATTTTACAGTTGTCTGCTCAGTGACCTGGCCCTTGTATGGCAGCGAGGCTAGAGTTGACCTTGTTTTGATACAGGCCTCACNNAAAAGCAGTGAGGTCTGTATCAAAACAAGGTCAACTCTAGCCTCGCTGCCATACAAAGGCCAGGTCACTGAGCAGACAACTGTAAAATGGTCTATTGTGATATATCTGTTAAGACGTCACTCAATTTTAGCCCAGTCGTGAGGTGTGATCCTATCACTCCTTAATACGGCCACCCCATTAATACGGCAGAATTTTCATGGCCCGTTGGTGACTGTATTAACGGGGTTCCACTGTACTAATTATTTGCACAGTCCAACAAACAAGAGTTAGCATTGTTATAACTCGAGTGCTTGTAATTTTTTTTTTAACGGGTAATAAAAACCGGAAAATTTCCGAGTCCTTCAACAAAGACTTGTCAATGTAACACTTGTTCCAGTTCAACTGTACACCTTAGCTCTTCTTATGTTTTTCAAGTTTTACCTTTCGTTTTAATTTCTTGTTGGTAAAGATCAGGTGAACTCGCCAGGTTTTGGAAAACATGGCACCATACGCTAAACTGAAGCCTAGTGACAGAGTCCAGGCCCTGCTCTGAAAGAGAGAGAGGGGGAATTAGAGAGAGAGAGGAAAGGAGACGAGAAAGTAATATGAGTAACATTAATAGTTTGAGGCAAATAATAATTTCATGATAAAAAATCGATTCCTGGAGAAGGCTGCAATAACTAATAGAGAACCCAGTTGGAAGAACTGTATCATGTTCATGATCCTAAGCGTCCAATCATTTTATTTCATACTGGAAAGTAAGTGAACAAGTAAATAGGGCCTCTGCCATGTTGACTCTGAGGCACCAAGGTCTAATGGCTGGTTGTGAATTCAGAGCAGAAAAACGTACTGCGCAACTATCTGCGCATCCCAAGCCCTACTTGCAGGCTCGGGTAATAATGGGATTTGCAATGGTGGAGAGAACAGCGGACTGTAATAAGGTACGCGAGAATGTCGTTCGGTTGATATATTTTATATACTTGGGCAAGCATGATAATGTTTTCAGCATTTTACTGTTAAGAAAACAAGTCTGCTCTTACCTGCTGAAAGGCTCTCTTGGTTATATATTCAGTGGCTTGCTTATATGGATGCAATGTGTAAAGTGCGTTTGTGACAAAAAATGTGCCTTTGCCCCGAAATTTCGTGTGTACCGCGGGGAAAATATAGGGTTCGGAAACCTTCTTTAGGTTTATTTTGTCCGAAAAAAATTGATTCCCCACGAAAACAATACACCAGCTTTCCATTAGTGACGTGAAAATGTCGCTGCTCACCGGGAAAATTCAGAAAGCATATAAAGTTCGTAACTTTTTTGTTTACACGACCGGCAAAATTCCTGCCATTTTTTCAAACTTGGAGCCTGGCACACAGCCAAAACTCGCGCATGCTCATTACGTTTTTCCGCTCTGAAGGTTGTGAATCTAAAGCCGCGTTGGCTACCATGGTCAAGATACTTGAGGCTTGCTTTCCCAGTTCCTCTGTTCACAAGTATGTATAAACGTATATTAGGAAATGGCTGGAACGACTAATCTTCCATGAACTTGTATTAATTAATCCATTCAGCAATGGAGTAGTAATACTCCAAAGGGCATATTAAAAATGGGGATTGAGCGCCAGACAGTAGCTCAATTGTATTCGCACATTTTAAGGGCTAATTTCACTCTTCCTTAGTGTCTCCTCACCCTGTTCACTTGAGAAAAGCTAGGAACTTGAGCACCTGGTGAAAAGTGATAGCAACGATAACATTCTTCGAAAGGTTGAGGAAGATTAACCCGCAAACACTCAATACCAAAACGGCGTTCGTAAATACTGCTCGAGATTTTTTTCGCACGGTAATTGACGAGGGCGCAGCCCGAGTCAACTTTCAGGTATTAGGGATTCGTTTTCAGTGGTATAGGTACACGATTCGTTTTAGTATAAATATATTGGTCGTTCAAAAATTTACAGTCACTTCGAAAATGCTAGGCTACTCACTATGTACAACATAACTGATATCTGATAGATAGTGAGTAACGTAGTCGATAAAAGAACGGCATTCACGATAGAACGCCAGATCTAGGTCTAGTAATCTAAACTAATTTATTAATAGAAGTAGATATATTTCAGATTTACCGCGCACACTATCTCGTAACCACTAGAAATGAAGCCGCCATCCAATCCAAACAGGAGCACTGAGATATAACTTAACGTGCATCCCAGCAGCACAGAGTTATTCAGATTAGGACTGGACATCTTGATAAACCTTGTAAAGAAATCAAACCTACTGTTATTATGATTGATCTGGTAAATGTGGTATGGGATAAGCATGACTTGCACTTTGATTGGTAAAGCTAGAGTGGTTTTGGTTTTGGTTTTACTACGGTTTGAGATTGGCTGAGAAGTCTAATCGGTCGTATTAATTGGTTTGGTTTTCGTTTTATGACACCCAGTTGAAAACCGCTCTGATAGAACCGGTTAGTGCAGTTTGTAAATTTCTAGAGTACACAGACAGTCCAGTTAACCAATCGAAACTTGAAGTGAATACATGTACCTGATGCAAAGCGCGGGAAAACGAATGTCAGTGAAACACGAGTGGGTTTTGTTTTACTTCTGACTGGATGAAAAAGTGGCGCGAGTCTACTTTTTAAGCCACTCGTGCACCGGAAACCACTCTATTAAATTGAGTTTCAACACATTAGGGAACTTTGCGACAGCGGCTAAGAAAGCACATGTATAGGAAAGTGTGTATTAAGCTTAAGTGAAAATGCGGATGAGAAACGTTAGTTACAATGAACATCACAGTATAACGAATCAGTTTTTCCAGGTTACGAAAAACAAAAGCATTCTTCTTAGTTTATGCTGCGTGTTTCCTGTTTAGACGTGACTGCAAAGTTTCAAAGCATCAAAGTCTGTATATTCGCTGCAGCCTGGATCTAAAAAACGGGACTGCCGAACGAATTCAAATCATCTCGTGTTTGTGCATTCACTTCTAAGACGGGAAAAGAAAACAGGCCCGATTTGACAAGGAAGCCTTATGATAGACCAGTCACTCCCGATCATTACAAGTATTACAGCATACCTGACGTTCCGTTTAGCAATGTTGAACCACAGGAAGAATAAAGAGATAAAAATAGCAAGTGACGTCACCACCGCCATGAATATAAACAGCGGAAGAGACACCGACATAAGCTCGTAAACAACTTTGGTCCTGTCTGGAGGAGGTGAACCACCTGTTAGGACATCAAATGAGTCACTCAGTCTGACATTAGAGGAGTCATTCGAAACAGTTGTTTTGTAATGCTTCTCTTGGTAAAGCTTAAAATTCGTCCTACTAAACATTCAGTCTCCTAGCCAGGTGGGAACGAGGGAATAACACGCTAAGAACATGCGCACTTTCCGATCGGCCGGGTTTACTCAGGGGGTTCTACGCAGACTACGTTTTCTTATACTTTAGTGTAATAATTAGGCTCTGCATCGTTCTGAGAGTCGATTAACACATTTGGATATTCAGCACATTAAAGCATTTGGAACTGAAGATGTCATAAGAATGTCGAAACATGTTTTGTAAAGTTAAATTTGCTGTTTTCTTTTTAAGATGATTAGCACGCAAAGTGACGCGAAGTGTAGAGATTAAAAGATTCACTAAACTTTAATTTTTTTCATTGATTTTGAGAATATCCTCGATCAACACTTCGTCCTAACTGAAGTTGACAAGAAGAGGGAGTAAAAACTGACATATGTGAAAGAAAATCTCCCATACATGTCATGATCAGCAACTCCAAATGGTATTGAAAACCCCTAACCATTAGAGAATCACTTAGGCATATCACAGTTCATCTTTTAAACGACCTTCTGAACAAAATAATACCTTTCCATGTTATAGCTTCGTAACCTGACCAGGTTATCGTACCCTCACTTAAACGATACAATCCAACGGTTACCTGTTTTCCATCTGTGGACGAGCAAAAAGAACGCTTGTAAGCACTGTAGGTGCGGATAAAGAATGAATGATTACTGATTTCCAAAACAACGAGTGCCGAAGGCGGAACCTTCTAGAGGGGTCCGGGTCATGCTTCCCCTAAAGACTCCCTAAAGTCCCCTTTCTGAATCATTCTAAAAGGTCTAAACCGTAACACGGTGAAAACTGGTAAGAAGTCGGCCTGAAGCGAGATCAGTTGTAAAAATATACAAAAAAATTGTGCGAAAACTTCACAACGTCGGTCAGGTGTGTGTAAAAAATTTTGATCGTTCTAAGTGGTGTCAGTATTGTTCAATAATAATAATACGGGCTCCAATGATTCTCGAAGGCACATGGGTAGATCGCTCTTGGGCCCTGGGCGTCAGTCATACGGGTTATTCAAGCTGTGACGTATAGGAACATGTTTAAAAAAGATATTTTTACCTTTCATTTGAACAATCTGCGTATCTCCGGCTCTGTTTCCCTTGCTGGTGAAACCAACAGGTCCCTTGAGAAAAGAAGTTCATTATCAAAAATAAAGTTGAAAATTAACGCTACTACTTTCGTCTACATTTCCGTCAGCAGTGATTTGAGTCATTCAGTGTCTCAGAGATCATTATGCTTTAGAACGATGCGGTGAAATGAACGAAAAAGGCTCTCAACATCAAAAAGTTGACAGGTTCATGTCGTGAACTAGAATTCTCCACAAATCCTCCGCTAATCTTTTAAAAAGACCAAGAGATTATAAAATATCTTGAAAAGACTTAATTTACAACTTCTCGATAAATGGCGAACACCCTGGCTATGTCTGGCTATGTGGATATGCAATCCTCCGTAGTAAAAAAAATGGCGACCGTACATTTTACCACAATACCATGCGAGCCTTACACAGCCCATACAGAACAAGGAAAGCCGTATTTTTGCAATATTTGTACCTGTGCTAATGACATTGTGTATGTTAGATTTGAAGATTTTAGAACTTTTCTGTACGTTGTTATGACCGTTTTAAAGTTTTCGTGGGCTAAGAACTATGGGCAAATATATGAGTCGCCGTCTTTTTTACTACGGAGGATTTGTCAGTTGTTCCAAGGGAGTCCGCCATATCTGAATGTTTTCTTTAGCTCACCGTCACTCCGGAAAAGTTGGTCCTCCTAAGAGCTTCAGTAAGTGCTGCGGATAAGGTCTTGTCACCGTATGGCACTTTATCTAAACGTGTGTTCGGGGCCATTCTACTGATGGTCCGATTCAATGCCAGGGCCATGGCCCATACTGCGTCATATGCGTAACCACGGTGAACATCACGTGACTTTGGTGAGACTCTCGAATCGTATTCAGCTAAGAAGTCCTTTACCGTCTAAGAGAGAGAAATCATGGTCAGCGATGTATGTTCTTGATCTCTGGATTAGAAATTTGTTCCCTTTTTGTCAAGCAAAACCCAACACTTTCTGAGATATCAAATGGATCTCATTTGTCAAGTCAGCTCTGACCTTTGTAGGAAGGTTTGATGATCTTTAAATCGTCTAGATCTTTAATGGACCAATCCCACAGTTGAGTTGACATTTGGCACCGATTAGAGCCTTGTCGCATGACGTCACAGCAGCCATATTGGTGTCCCAAAGCCTTGGGAGTTGATCTCTTTTCTTGTGTAACGCTTTTTATTATTCCTAATTAGAATTGCATAGCTGCTGGCCACGTGTGTGAAAACGCTCTACTAGCTTGCGAGTTTGACTTCTGTTTCACAAAGTGTAATACAAAAGGCAACAAAAAGACCTACTTCAAAAGCTAAACTTTTAAGTTGCTTTCTCTCACAAAGCCTTATTTAAATCAATCAATAAATTCTGACATTGCAAACGATTGCTCCATCAGTGAAATACCTTTCCGAAGACTGTTTTAGTGCTCAGTCCAGTATTCCATAGGTAGTCGGTTGCTAGGTAACCATCCATCGCTTCAGACAACTCCTGAGACGAACACGTGATACTGGAATCGTCGACTAGCCACCATTCCCTCTCTATATATCCAAGAAGGATCCACACATACTTTGGACCAAACATGCGTAGTTTGTAGGCCTGGACGTATGACAGCAAGGATGGTAAAAAAAAACGTCTGCAAGAGCATTGGCTTAGCTATGATGTCTACTTAGGTAGTTTCTATTCCTAAGTCATGATGTTTAGCCCGGTTTCCTGTGGCAAATAGCTTGTCCCTTCACAGAGATAGCTCCAGCAACAAATTCGCCGGTATTCATTTATACACACGGGAGAAGAGAGGCAATATGAGAATAGACCAATTTCGATTTATTAAAATTCGGCCTAAAACAATAGACTTCAGCACGAGGCTCTGGGGAATAACTACAGTTTATACCCCAGAGCCTCGTTCTGATGGCTATTGTGTTAGGCTGAATTTTGATATATCGAACTTGGTCTATTTAATTTATACATCAAACACGAAAGACAGTGTTTGACCAACTTTCCAAACACGGAGAACGGGGTTGAAAATACGACGCGCAGCGGAGTATTTTTGACGAACTTCAAGGTGTCTGGAAATGCGGTCAAACACTGTCTTGAGTGTTTGATGTATCTTCTCAATCGAGAAAACGGAGAAATAAAATCGTAAATATCTATATATTCTAATTTAAAGATCAGATATCCAAACATCGTCACGGTCATGGTTTCCTTTTAAACTTGATGAATTATCATTGAGTTCAAGAGGAAAGTGTCTTGCTTATAAGAACACTTGAACCCGACCATGGCTTAAGCCGGGACCACTCTGAGGAGATTCTGGCGTGCTAACCGCCGAAAGTTATAAAATAATCGAGCCTTTCGAAATGGAATCCGGTTCAGTGGGCAGAGGTTTAGTTGAAACCCACCTCACAAAAAACTTGTCGAGCTCCTTTTCCAAAAAAATTTGCTAGAATGATTCTTGCTCCTCTGTTCTGAAAATATAAAATAAATCGGGTAAGTAGGCTTTAACCCAGAGACAAATTTTTACGTTTGTATCACCCCCTTAAATGAGATGATTTTTTTTTTCTAACTTGCAATTTGGTAGGCAGAGTCCGCTAATCGCTAGTACTTGGTCAGCCTGTTACAACTACATAGCGCGATATGCGAACTAGATTAATGACACTTGCCTTTAAGTTTTCCATTTGCATTGTGGCATTTTCTCGGAAACTCTCGGAAGAAATTTGTCTGATTCCGTTCTCGAGAAAAAGAGCATGAAGATCAGATATGGCCTAGAAGGAGACAAACAGAGCAAAAAAATCTGTGCTGTACAATTCAAAAGAGACAGAGACCAAAATACACTGACGCGTCTACTTATAATTTAATATACAGCTCGTGTAAAAGGCGTATTCTAGATTTAAGCTGTGTGCACTAAATACCGAGGAAAGTATCTTAGGACAGCTCGCGATTTTACAAGTCTCCTATTTCTCCTATTTCTCTTGTATAAATATTCTCAGCCTTTGTGTATAGCTCTCCGCTAAAACCACAGTTTACACCATATGGGAGTGTGAATTCAAACTTGTTTATACCTACTAGCGATAATTAGACATTTTCGTCACTGTATCAGTTCTGACTGGCTAAAAGCACCCAGCTAAATTCTTGCTGGGGCCTGTTTCGTTGCGTCATACCTGTAGACGTTTTCATATATGGAGCAGTGACGTCGTACCTACAGACCATAGTCGCACGTAGAAGCGACTTCGAGTAATTATTCATTAATTGTGCGAGCTCTCTTCTTCGTAAGCACCCAGGTTTATGCATAATAATAATAATAATAATAATAATAATAATAATAATAATAATAATAATAATAATAACTGGATTAGGTATAAGATGGCGCGAGTTATCAAGACCTTGGTTTATGTTATTCACCTGAGCCTTCGGCTTGGCGATCGGTAGATAACACAAACATCGGTCTTGATAATTCTCCCTATCATGCGGCTCGACCTGACCTAATAATAGTCAATTATCGAGGACAACATGGACGAGGTATCACGTGTTATAGATCTGTGGAACGATCCTGGCCAAAAGTCTTGGGTCATTTTACACTTTTGCCAGCATATGGATTTTCTGTTCACCCGGCAACCACTCCCCACCACCAACACAATGTTGATATTGATTCATCCAAAGTAGACCCACTATTCCGTCATTGTTTTGGGGGAAGGGGGGGGGGGGTTATAGTTACCGTTCGGTGTATGTCCTCCTCCTGAAAGATGATACCCACATGACTCCATTTGAATGTTTTCAGTAAGGCTAGCCGGGGGGCGTTGAACGAGGTATCATCCGGGATAGTGCGGTAGAAGTACGGGTACTTGTTTTTGACTGATAACTCGGGTGATGTACTGGAATATGAAATCTGTTGATGTAAAACAATCCACAACAAAATGTTTTCCGTACACACTACACTGGAGGAATTTAAAAACGCAGCAGTCACTGGTCATTTTGGATTTATGTTTGATCGAGGAAAACTCGAGCAGGAAACTCATATGATTATCGCGACATCATCGTTTTAGAAAAGCTCCCTTTTTAAAATGTTTTCAGAATACACTAAAATGGAAAGCCGGCGTTTTTAAATTTCTCCGGTTTGAAAAGCCTTTTTGAGAAAGCTCCGTTTTCGTGACGGATTAGTGTCGATGGGGAGTCCTAACCGTAGAAATAAGGCTGCGTTTTTAAATTTCTCCGACGTAAAGTGGACAGGGCCTAAACTAATATTATCCATAATTCCTTTCGGCATTGTCACGTAGACTTTCACGCTTTCGTAGGTAAACCTTTCTCGAAACAGATGTATAAAGAATCAGAGCTCTATACGCCATTACGAACAACAACAATTCGGCTTCTGTCGTAGTCTTGCGACTTGCTCGCCACTAATTCGCGATCTAACTTAAAGTCAAAAGGCCTTACAACGCCAGTTAGGAGTTTAATCAAGTTTCTCACACTTGCCACTGGCTGACTAAACTGCAGGGATATATTTTCGACCTTATCTAATACCTTTGTTATTACCTTTAGTTATTTTTTCTCACATTGTACCTGCGGTATTGCCCAAGGTTCCAGGCCAGCCAGCGCGGCTACCACAGTGCTGCATGAAGAGTATCCGGCTCCCAGGAACATGATTTTACGGGGCTCGTTATGAAGAAACTCGAATACGATATGTTCTGCCCAGCCAGGGGAACCCTGTAGATAAAGCCCAAGTGCCTCATTAATACCTGCTCCGACACGTTTGAAAGCTATTTAGGGAATATCATTTAAAATTGTGCTGATCAGTTTACTCTCTTGAAAATTAACTGCATCAGCAAAACTGTCAACGGAAGCTTAAGTTCAGTGAAAAAGTACCTGTAGATGTTGGAATTGTTTTTAGCGTTTGCACATATTATATCAGTTTTTTTCCCCCTCCTTATTTTGGGCAAAAAAAATCGCAGAAGGAAGAAAAGCCGGCAGGGCAAGCAAAAAAACCGCCCCCCCCTCCTCTTAGCTCAAGGTCTGGAAACGCCACTGTATATGACACGTGTGGAGGAGATATCTGAATACAGCTTTGAATCGTACAGTGGTGTGCTGTTGACATAATACTGTCATACTTAAGAAATTACAAGTTGTATAAAACAAGGAAGACAATATTTACCTTGGTGTCATTCCAAATCATTCTCAGCTCATAGTCGGTCAACACTCCGGCACTGTTCACGTGATCAAAAGCCATTTGTGCAGCGGGTTGAACACCATTACCGCCTGTCCAGCCATCATTACGCTCTGACGTCATCGGGAACAAGGCGCCCACGTATAGAGGCGTTTTTGCGCAAGTGCGACAGAAGTTGGTAATAATGAAATGCAAAACAAGGAGACTTAATCGTACAGCCATTTCGATAACCTGTTAAGAAAACAGGAGACAGTTTAATCTAAGCTGAAGAAAACTGATTAATGTATAAATTAATGTTGCAGTGACTGATTGACTGACTGACTGACTGACTGAATGAATGAATGAACGAAGGAAAGAGAGAATGAATGAATGAACGAACGAACGAATAAAGGAATGAACAACTTATAAAGTAGCTTCCGGCCATATTTAACTCAAGCATTTTTTTCTTCAATGATGCTTTCCATTAAACTTTTTGGAATTTGTCCATATAAAGTAAAAAAAGGGCAATTAGCACTTTTAAAACATAGCTTTATTAATATTTACTTATACTACCAAACTCAGTATGCGTAAGTATAGATCCTAATCAAGAGAAGATCAAGGTAAGAGAGTGAATTCTCATATAGGGCTTATACCTAAGCTAAACCTTCCTAAGGCATGTTCAGACATGGTACCCAGTTCTTTCGAGGATGTTGCTCGCGCGATGCCTGGACAGCCCAAGCGACTTTTCCGGAATTACCTGAGATAAAATTCAGTTTTGGTTACTGAACTCTCCTCGATTCGTAGTACGCCGATATTAGCAGTGAGTTTAGCCCATGGAATATTCAGGCGAACGACGCCGCCAGTTATAAATTGCTTTGCTTTTTCAAAAAGTATATATTTAGCATTTCTAGCAGCCCGTAATTTCACGATATTTTAAGTCCACCTTCTCTGTTTGTATCATGATTTAAAACTTTGGCTTACAGTTGTTTTTGTCATTGGAGGGTAGGAGCAAGGACTTCCTTGTTTTCGACGGTCATTTTGCCAAAGACAGNAATAGTTTCCAGAGGGCTTTCTTGTGAAAAAGTTTGAGGGAATTCGATTTTTGCATTTAGCACACCTATCCGTAGTATTTACAGGAAGTCACTCTTAATTTCCTATGCATTATATTTATTTTCTTCCCAAAGGAAAACAACAATATATGATTTTTGTAGTTATTATAAGCATATTTATATAAGAAAGCTGATAATGTTTTCTAATTCCTTTTTAAAAATAGACCAGACTTCTCAGTAGAGAGCTCTATTGATGAACAGTTATATTCTTGGGGCAAATTCCAAATTTCAAGCTGTTTCTCTATTTTCATAAAGAACTGCATAAGAGGTTTGCCCTTACCAACAGATCACAGGAGCCGACTTGACATTTTAATTTAATTACTGGTCAATTTAGAGCGACACACTAAAAGTTTTCGTCAAAAACAGTAACTATAAAATAACTGGGACGCAAAGGATCAGCGTTCGAACGCAATGATTTTATACTTTGCCGCTCGCATGTTTTCCACTCGATCGTACATTGCCGTTGTGTGCATGCTTGTTACTGTAGTATTTCTTCTTCACATAAGAGAAAAAAAAGTGGAATCTTATTGTCTCAAAAACCAACGAGTGCAAGACTTCCTTCGGTTTCTGAATGTTCAACGGACTTTGAATTTAAATATGATGCTTATAAATAACTATCATCTGTGCAGTGCAAGCCCAGGACCTCGAGTTGGGTTGGCCTAACAGGTAAAACACCATGTTCACGACACTATGTTCATGACACTATGGTTGCGCTTTTTATACTAGAGAACACTTTTTCGTTTTATCAATTTTACCAAAATAGTTTTTGAAAAACCTTTTAGAGGATGAATCTATTAAAGTTTATCATTATCAGTATTCTTTTCTAAAGAAAGGATAAACCTGCCGTAATAATTTAAAAAATAACCAGTAAAAAGTTTACAAGGTCACTCAACCTACCTCGTCAACAAAGGATTTAGTACCTTACAGTTAGTGGTCTCAGTGTGAATGGTGAACAGCTAGCAGTTTCTTAAGTAGAAGAATAAAATGTTCATAAGTTGTCGCCATGGTCTAGTGTTAAATGATAATTAGTTGAATATTTTCCCGTTTCAATTTTCAGCTGTCTGCAACAAGTATCACGTTTTGTTATTGAGTTTTCCGCATAATAAATTCGAATGGCGCCAGTTAAGGATATCGCTAAAACTAAACATACAAAGAAGGTCTATTTAACTCAAAAGAAAATGGGCTCAGTTCAAAGAAAAATTCAAAGCATGTGAATGCGCAACGAGAATTGGATACCACAGGCATTTCACATAAGTGATGAATACTCGTAGGCCACCCACTCTTTGCGTGTTATTTATTTACAATGGGTCGCCTACGCCTCGCCACTTTCGTGAAAAACAACCAGCTTTGAAACTGTGTTTATTGACGGTGCCTACTTTTGTAAGTGCGCATACGTTCTGCGCATCACTCAATGCATGGTTTACACGCCACACTCTAGGGTTGATATTAGGCACCTTAAGACACTAGGACGGGACGAGCTACGGACGGCTACCGGAAGTAAATTTACTCAACCGGGCATTCGCATGAGAACTATCGACTCATCTCTTTGCCGTCCTCGTCTCGTCGAGGACGCCATTTCGCCCGACTAGCCGTCGTATCATTAACGTAAGTACTTTGCTCTTGTTTTGCCCCGACAAATTTTCCAGTCGACCTTATTTTCAGTTATATTGATAAGAATGTTTATAAGTTTCAAATTTTTCGTGATTGTAGTGTAGAATACTACGCTGAGATACGAAAATGTGAATAAAAATATTCCTTGTCCTTCGTTTGTATTTCAGTCACTTTTCAGACGCTGTCACGAGTGTGCAAGCTCAAAACAAAATACAAACTGTATGCATTGAGAATACATCAGTGAAAGTACAAACGATAAAATGTAGTAAGAATGAATGACATGGAAGCATCTATCGAGCAAATAAAATACACAATTTCAAAATGATGTTTAGATGTTTTTTTTTTTTATACTGCCAGGATCGAACTTGATGCAACGTTTGTTATATTTTTATAATGCTTGTTACAATTACAGATGGAAATTGAAATATTCACCAAAAGTCAGGATTCATCGGCGACAGAATTCTCAAACGTTCTGGTGGTAAAAAGCCACCTAAAGCTGGTCGATCAGATTGTTCGTTTAATTTTTTCACACGGAAATTCAGGTTTCTCTATTAAAATATTGACAGATGTTTGCTTCGCTTACAAAGAAAAAGAAATTCAGCGTCGCTGTTCACTATCGTTCAAACTTGATAGGATAGGATTTCTCTTCTTTTATAGTCTAAAGGATGTCATTGCTTCCGTGAATAGCTTGTACGAAGTTCGAATCATTGACGTCGCCGTCCTTTACGAAAATACACATCTTAAGCATTTTGTTTTTGGCGACCCAACGGAACCTGCGAAAGTTTCCCGCGTCCACTGCCGTTCCCGTCCTGGCCTTCCCGTCCTCGTATCTTAAGGTCTCTATATTGATGTAATCAACTACGCTACCAAGTACGTAGCTAAAATGAAAGCAAAATTCTCCTACTGCGACCAAATCAAGTTGCTAAAACGAGGAATACCACAATGGCGGCATAACGTTAACCACTAACTGTTAACGACGTCCAGCTGAGAAAAAATTGCTGTTGTCCAAGAAAATTATACTGAAATCCAGGTGTAAACATGCACCTGCGAATGACATATAGTGCGCTCGTAATTTTTACAGGCATGGGGGAGCATATTTTGAATTAGGGGGTGGGGGAGGCGGAGGAGGGGTGCTTACAAGCGAGCGGCAGAGCCGCTTGTATGGGATCTAGAGATATTTATAAATTATATTACGTATTTTTTGCTTGAAATTGGCGCGGGCTCCGCCGTCCCTGAGTTAAGTAAGCCGGGAGACCTAAATGTTTGACTTACTGGGAAGGGGACAGGAAAAAAAAAAAAATCGGGCAAGGAAATAGTTTTCAAAAAGATTAAAACAACTCATTTAACTTTTAAAATCGCTTGCTTAGTTACCCCAGCATTTTATGTTAAAAAATGGGTGGTAAGCCAATTCAACATGTCATTAGTTTCTGGTTGTGAGGAAAAGATATTTAGACTGTACTTTGGCAAGAGAAGATCGATCTTAGGGAGTTGAATGAGCAAACCACAAGGGCAACGGTAACGGCAACGAGTACAATGGCTTTGTACGCGTGCGTTGTAATTGCTAGGCCTTTACAAAACAGCAATGTGAAAGGCTACAGGCTGCATACTCGAGAGAGCATGAACCACGACCGCCAATTTTTAGAATTTAGAATTCAAAATTTTAGATATTTTGTTTGGAATATCTCTGACAGTGATCGACAAACTGAATGTATCTTTATTCTTGCGAGATTCGAAGGTTAAATCTAAGTGTCTTTGGTGTTGTTGTTGTTGTTGCTTGAACTCCGTTTTGCTGTTTGGATTGTGAGCTTCTCTCTGCACTTTGGACCATCTGTTTGTAAGGTTGCGTTGTGTTCGGGCGTTCGTTTGCTTTGCTCTCGTTTGGCTGCTTATTTCTCTACCGTTCATTCAGTTTTTGCTGTTTGTTAAGGGCACATCTGTCTCTTATTTAAACTCCTATTAAAGTTTCGAAATGTATTAAAACATAGCAAGGGCCGAGGCTTCTTTGCTTCAAAGAAGACATCCTCACAGCTTTGAGGTTTTCTCTGCAGTGCTTTGAAACGAACAGAAATATAAACAAATCCTCCACAAAAAAAATCCACGAAACGCGCCAGTAACATCCGCGAAAGAACTACGCACCATTTCTAAAAATAACTTAATATGGTTTACCTTGGGTAAAAAGCCTATATAGGGGATTCACTCTCTTACCTTGATCTTCTCTTGATCTAATCTAATGATGCAAGCCGAAGCATTGGTTATGGTGAATTATTAGTCAATTAAGACACCTAAGAAATCAGCCAATCATGGAGCTTTATTGCTAGTCCAATACATTCCAAGTATTGGACTGAGTTGAGATAAGCTTGCACAAGTCACGCATCGAAACCCTTATCACGCAATAGAAACAAGGAGGGAAGATTGGCACGAATTACAAACGACGAACTTGATAAATGTAGGCTAAACTCTTCAAGATATGCAAATCGTGACGTAGCAAATCGAAACGCAGGAATCAGCAAGGCGCTCTGCAAACGTCAATTTGTGTCATCACATACGTCATGTCACTTAGCAACATCCATGCAGATGACCGCGGGCTCATTCAATTCTGAAAGATGTTCACGAATATTCAATTTTTATTTTAGAGAAAAAGGAATCATTTAGTTAACTCATGCGAATAACATGGAACCATGCTAGATTGGAAACCTCTCTTATCATAATATAAAACATTACTTAACTCACAAGCGAGTTTTAATTTCCTTTGCACACGTCAAATTAAGGCCAAATTTTCAATTTAAGAACTATTCAATAACTTCACGATGAGAACGGCAAAATGAAACTGATTTTCTGGCAACTCTCTGTGAGTGAAATATGAAAACTTTACCAGGAAAATAATACGAAAGACTGATTTGGAAACAGTGGTACAGTAACTGTTTCGTTATAGGCCTCTCTAGTCACAATATTTCCCATGCTCTGCTGGGGAATTACAGCTACTTTCTACACTCTAAATACTAAATTTCCAATCAAATAAGGCATAAAATATTCACGAGGAAAGTGAGTGACTATTATGGAAAGATGAATTGAATTTAACTTAACTAGATTTCGATCTCGCTAACCATGGTATCACCCCAAACGCGATCAATCAATTAGGTTTTTTTTTCTCGCACTAGGTTGAGACTTCTTGTGTACATTCTGACTTGAGCTCTGTAATGCTAAAAGCTAAGGTTTACCAGCTAGGGAACATAACCCAGCGCTGGTACGGTGCAACTTGGAATCCAAATTTAAATATGCTTCACTTGCAGTTCCTTTACTTGCATGTTGCTATCAGCTGTGAACAGCTTAAATTCGTTTGAAGTTATACTTGTCTATCTTGATTACAAATAAACATTTTTTATCCAAAAGCAGTGTTATATAAAACTAAAGGTAATCCGATCACAAGTTTTTAATTAAAAAATTCGATATCCACGAAATTCTCTTCGAATAGCCCAGGGCAAGTCCCTTTTCTTTCTGGTATAGATGATCAGTTAAAACTTTCATAAGGGTATCGTGGATATTCAATTGCAGTTACCATGTATGCAAAAAACGTTTGCCGATGTTTTATTGACAACGTTGAATTATACAACAGGTATAGTTGCTCCCCTAAGTTCCAAATTCTAAATATAAATTTTTCTTACTTAATTCCAAACATTTCCTTCAAAGATAGTTATGAGAGTTTCGTAGATCAAGAGAATATCTCCTTGTTTATAGTTTTCTTTACGGCTGTCAACATTCTGTTTGACAATGCACGTGTATCGATTGATATGCTTATAAAGTTGTAGGTGGATCGTATCTTGGGGTAGATTTCAGTTTCTTCCCTCTTTACAAGAATTAAATCACTAGCTAAAATTAGGAAAATCAAGTCAAGCACTTTTTCAGTTATTCACTTTGTAATATCGCTTTTGCTTATCAGTCGACGTTAAGCTTTCCGCTGGAATGGTCCACTTTACGTTTCCGTCGACGTAACTAGTTAAGTATCTTTGTAAGAAATTCGTTAGAAAAAAAGTGGATTGGAAAGTTTTGAGATGATGTTATTATGAGTTGAGTTTGATCTATCTCTTCGCCGCCAATAGTCACCAAATTAACAAAAAAGCAACACGTGTTTGAGTTCCGTCCGACAGTACATGTTTGCTCAGGATATTTTCATGTATCGATACATCAAAATCAATTCACATCTTTTCTGAAAACGGTGTTTTTAACCTTATTGCCTCAGACGACGGTTCTACTGGTTGCACACGAGTTAACTTTACTTAAAAAAAAAAAAAAATGAATTTACATTTGGAAATTGCTCTATGCGTAACTGCAAATTCACTCTAAATTATCATGACTGATCTGGGCATCATAGGCGGCCGGAGCATTCCCAAAACGTTATTTCCAACGTTGTAAAAAAAAAAATTATAAGCCAAAAAAAAAAAAAAACACTCAAATACTGTGGCGAACTAATACAATCTGCTTCTCACTCCCAGCAGTGTTATTTACTTGAACAAGTAATAACGACAAAAGCTCACCTATTGGCAAATTATTTTTACAGACCAAGTTAGAGATGTGTCCTTTTTTGCAGTCCAAGCTGGAGATCGCTCATTCATCTATGTGCTATTGTTATTGCAGCGTTTTCGGTCGAGCAAAATGGGGAAGTACTTCCTCTAAAAGAGAAAAACATAACCGATAAACTCTTTAATTAGAATCTACCGTCTATGACTAAAAATGCAATTAAAGTTAGCAGAATATATTTGGCTAAAGCGAAAATTAATTTCCGCCTAATAAGCAAAGCTCACACCAAAAGAAAAACAATAAGGGAAAAAAAAAAATTGGCTGGTTTAAAACCGGTTATTTTGGTCTTGTGCATTTATCAGCACAACTTAATTTGAACCAAAAAACTTAAAATATTTATACTGGAAGTTGAAGTTCTTTGATAAGCAGCAAAAACCATCCTTACCGACGTTAAAAAATTTGCTTAACAGAAAGCAACCATCATTTGTGTGTTATACCGAGTTCCGCAAAGCTGCCAGAAAAATTAAGGCTTGGAGTATATTTACAAAATCCGTATGTCAACAACAGCATTCAAAGACGGATGTCTACATCTGCGAGCGAACATAAATACAGCAATCTCAGAAGACTTCCCTTACTTTGTAAAATTTGTTTGGACATGTCTATAAGGTGGCTGACAGATTTTGTTACAGATGTAGCCTGTTAGTACAATCTGTCTGTTACTTGTCTAACCTCACCCATGTCTTCTCAAAAATCTTGACGGACACGCCACTCGACACGATTTCAAAAGGTCGCCTTACAATCTAATAACGCACGTACGAAGGTAATCTAGTGCATTTGAAATATGTAGTTTTTGTTTCACCAGACTTCATGAGCCGCAAAAATGAATATAAAAGAAATTAATTGAAAAGGAACAACAATAGGCGAGTTTTGATTGATGGAAAACCGGCGTTGAACTTGTGTGTACACCTGGGTCAAACTGAATTCTTTCCAAAGAGGAAGAGATGTCAATGTAAAAGTGCAAAATAATTTTAGGCCCGGTTCAGACGCCGTACCTCACGTGAGCCGAGTCGAATTCAATGAATTAAGTTCATGTGAAGTACGGGGTCTGGATCAATTTGAAAAGACTGATTGAATTCGGATCGGTTCAGCCCTTCTTCACGGCTGGCTCAGCCGAGAATGACGGCTGTGGATCGACTTTGATTCTGATGCTGTACTTCACATGAAATACATAAATCAATTTAATATATTTTAAATGTGTTTTGATGACCTGAGTATGCACAAAAGTATAAATGGTACGTCAGCGCATCAAAATGGCGAGTATCGCTCGTCAGAGTGAAGCCGATATGTGTAGTTTGTGTTTTGCTGTTTTCGTGCGCAAACTTGCAGCCACCTTTTCGTGCTTGTGTTGAATTACATGCGAGCATTGAATTTGTTAATTAACCTGAATATTGAAGGTGGGCTTTTGCCCAAGTTGTGTTGTATTTCATGGCACACAAAGAGGTTGGAAGTGGAAATTGTATGTTGAAATTGAGTTCATGTGAAGTACGACATCTGAACCAATATATGTGGGTTACAGTTAAATTATGAACACTTGTTATTTTTGAGACAACACCACATATACATTCAGTGGAATCAGTTGTGTCAGGCTTATCATGATATAGTTGTGAATTAATACTATATCTAGTTTCAGGACGAAACCTAAGTTTATTTATTTGTCTAGTGATCAACAACTATATTTCCGTCATAGAAATTAAGAACCTAATAAGAACCTGCTTTGCCTAAATTGCCAATAACTACCCCAAAATACATGAACCTGTTTTGCCAGACTTCAAAACATATAGGTTCTTACACGTGGATTTTTACTGTAACATGCGAGCAGAGCTTCGTTTGGGCAGATCGAGGCCAACTTTTGTTTTGGCTCGCTTCTATATTAGCGGTCAGTATCGTATTTATTATCTGTTCGAACCAACACGTGTTGTTGATGACCGCTGAAAGTTGTTAAGCCCAAAAACTGTAAGGTAAAAAAAACTATCTCGTGAAATTGCTTTTTGAAAGTTAAAAGGCATACCTAAGGAATATTCAACAGTAGGACTATAATTTCACGATCATCTGAATAGCTCGACGTTTTTTTAGTGATAATATCGCAAACTGGTTGTTTTCCCTTATAATAATAATAATAATAATAATAATAATAATAATAATAACTTTATTTGATTGTCTAGTCTTCTAGCTAGCCTTAAGCTTACTAATCGGGATATTCGTGATATTTTGTCAGAAATTCATAGTAAAATACACGTGAATGATGATGTAATGATGTTACGTCATGAACTATTGTATGTTATCATACTTCTATCGCTAAAGCTCTAGAAATGGGATCGTTGAGATATTGTATCATGTTGAATCAAAACTGATGTAGAAAGGATTATTAAAGAACATGTCAAATAACCACCGAAGGTTTTTAGAGAGAAGAAAGCAAAGAACTACGCGTATACCATCTTCAATTTCGTGTACCCAAGATACTTAACAAAACACTCTAGCTGCAGTTCAAATTTCTCATCGTAAAGTTTGAAATAGTTGGATTTCTCCGTGGTGACATTCTATAAGAATTAGCACTTTTGCCCGCCGAAATTTAGACAACTTCGAAATATTCTCCACGGACTTTTTCATTCAAAAAACCAAAGAAATAACAAATTATGTAGGCCTGGTATTCAGCTCTGCTTGACCAAAAAATAATGAATAATCAGCCTTAGTTTTGAAGTCCTTAAACATAAAATATACTAAATATTCTTTAGAATTTTGCAAAGAATGGATCTAACTTTACCTGTTTTGCAGATTGTGATCAAAACGACCAAATTAACTAAAATCATTTGAACATTCTCCACGAAAATCAATTTTCCAGTTGCTTCATTCCGACATTGTTCGCAAACGTATCTCAGTTTGTAATGGGATCATGGCAATAATTACCACGTGTTTTTAATTCTTAATGTGACAAAAAAAAACAACGAAAGACGTTTAGCAGAACAATAGAAAAACTGATATTGTGTTTGTGGTTAAACGAGTGCATCAGAAAAGATTCAGTGACACATTGAACATCTTCACCATATCCAATACTTTGTATTGATTCCCGTATTTAATTAATTAATTTGATATATTATACTCAGAAAATGCAGCAGAGATCTTGATGGTGATACGAAAAGAAGTAGAAATACCTTTGCATCGCCCATTAGGTTATGTGCGTGCGAATAATAATCTTCTTTGTTAAACAATTCGTAAGGCACAATATTTCGCTCATCTTTAAATTAAGAAGAAGTACTACATCAGAGATCAGAAAGGACAGAACCATTTTGATTTTTCGCATTCTACGTGAAAAAGAATAAAAGTAAGTCGGGTGCCGGGCTGTTTTAAGCTTAATTTCAATTTAGGGTATGCAAAAGTAGCTCCTTTTGTATCCTTTAGTTCAGGCGTAGATTCATTTGTTTAAATAATTCAATTAGTTTAGTTTAACTCCTACTGAGAACCTTTTAACAATCTTAGTCCAAGCATTGATCTTGAGTAATCTGATTGTAGTTTCTCCTCAGAGCATATGGTAAAGAGCAAGTTTAGCAATGAAGGAGTTAATGCAAGTTTTGTGGGTAGTTCACCTTCTTCGATTCCTCTCGTGAAGTGTCTGCTTTATTACGTGCGCATAATCTTGACAGTCTTTGCAATGAGGAAATAAACGTCCGTCAACAAAGAACAATGGCCCGATAGATGCATCTTGTTTTAAAAAGTATAGCCTGACCTTGTCATAAATTTGGATTATTATCGTGTAATACGAAAGAGCGCCACAAGTGGTAGAAATAAAGAAATATCAGCTAATTAAAAGGGAAAAATGATTAAAACTAGTCGTAATCATAGATTAAAGAGTGCGTTCGAGTTTTGGTAGGTTTGAGGGTATGTTCTCGTTTACACATGTATTACGTAATATTAGTTAAGACCGGTCAGTAAAAAACACGGACTGCAGTTGGTAAGCCGCATTTTATACCTGAGTCCGTGCTTTATACCCAGTCTGCCGTCAGCAGCCCGCAGTCCGCAGTGCGCAGTCCGCAGTCCGTAGTCGGCAGTCCGCAGGCTGAAGTCCGCAGGCCGCAGTCCGCAGTCCGCAGGCCGCAGTCCGCGGTCCCTAGTCTGCGGTCCGCAGCCCATATTTTATACTGACCGTGTAATGCATCAGTCAATTCCAGCAGTGCCCATCCCCCCCCCCCCCNCATTTTTTAAAAAAAAAAATGAGTAAATTTCCCGGGGTGGGGACACATACGCTGTCTAAATGCCCCGGGTTGGGGACGAAGAAAGAGGGCAAATGCCCTGCCCCCGAGATCGTCGCCTTCCAACACCTCCGCAGTTTTTCAATTAATCAGTGAATAAAACGGTCAACTGTTCAGTATTTAATGCAACGGTAAGACTTCAAGGACAACAGTACCTGTTAGTTGATTCTGATTATATTTATTTCTTTATATTTGTTTTTAANGGGGGGGGGGGGGATGGGCACTGCTGAAATTGACTGATGCATAAATCGACACAAACGATGCCTGTTCCGTCGGTATGCGAGACGATTTGCTTTTTGTTATCATAACTAGACAATTATTCTGTCTACGAACACGACTTTGAATCGTCTTGGCTTTGGGGGAACAGCTACAGGGCATTTTAACTTCCGAAACAATGAAACGGAGGACATGTTGGTGTACCAAATCCTGTGGGAGTTGAACTCTTTTCTTATGTAAACACTTTCGTTGGGCTTATGTTACATAATTTGCGCACAGAAATCTAGGCTAGCGAAGTGAAACTACACATTTCCTCCTTTGATTCATTCAGCAGAAAGCAGCGTTAGTTTTGGTCGAAGAGAAGAGGGTACACAGCACGCAGTCAAAATACAGCTTTCTGATCGTACGAAAAGTTGTACACATTTCGTGAACACATGTCTGCAAGGTTTTTTAATGCCACTGACGCAGACTTCGAACTTTAAATAACCGACTTATCCGCTACAGTCCACAATAAGCTCGAAAGTCCGCAATATTGCACAACAATCGAAAGAAAGCACAAGGACGAACATTGAGATGACGTCATTCTTCCCTGAAGAATTTTTTGGGGGCCAAATTAATGTCCACAAAAAGGTACATACACAAAAACTCGAATTTTCCTGCATTACCCAATTAGAACTGCGTTCTCTCGAACGCAATAATTAAAATTCCACCTGCAAGGTAATTTTGACTCCCTTGAAATCTTCACAAAATCTAACAAAATGTTGTGATATGTTGCTCTTTGTTTTAGATCTTTCTGTACAATTTGCTTGTGTATCTGGTGGCATTTGGTAATATAATATGTGAAATAAGATAAAAAAAAAAAAAAAAAACTTTCGATGATCATGTCAGCCATGCAGGATACAGTCCCTTAAATTAGAATTTCAGGTCGGGAACAGTTTTACCTAACACCAACGGTTGGAGATGCATGTAGACTGAACCTAGTTTGTTCTTAGATCCCAGTAAAGCACAATGCCCGAAAACACTTCCTCCCAGCCCCCCCCCCCCCCCCCCCCCCCC